TTGTTGGGTTCAGTCCAGTTGGGTTCAGTATTTATTATTAATATACTGTGGTCTGGATTACTGCATCAACGTAAAATTAATTTGATAACTGATACGAGCAGGTAGGAGCGATGGTTCAAAATCACACGTGGGAAATCAAGCGGAGTAAATCCAGGAACACCATTACCCACCACATAACCATGCCGAATGAAAACCGATACTCCCTAAAATTCTAGCCCGGTGGTTTAATCGGATAACTGCGATTTACTTCCAAGATCAACAACTTGTAGCCCTTACTGATTCATCAATTAGGAAACTCCGCAACAAAGACGGTCTGCCAAGGTAGCCTATTCGGTGACATGTACAACACATGTCCCAATCAACCAAGATTGGGGTTCGTGAACATCTGTGTCAATTTTGGCATTCTGCATGTGATCTTTGAAAAGCTGATACGGGGGTTTTATCAAATTAAGGAAATCCCTCAAGGAACACCACTGGTAAGCATGGACTCAGTCCCCTAACGGTCAGAGTGCTGAATCTCGAGCATCAGAGAAAAACTGTGGGCAAGTAAACGAAACAAAAACCATCCAGATGAATACGGTCATGCAAGCCTTCTTCGTAAGTCAGACAGTTTAGTTCGCCTGGTACGAAGCCTTCCCATGTACAACGAAATTTGTTCGACAAATCGTTCAGAGACTGCTAGAATAAGCGTTGAATGGCTCATACCTAGTAGTTTGTTCTCACCTATTCAAGATGTTTTGTAAATGGTAAAGAGGAATATCCAGAGTTTCAGTTTTTACAACCATCATCCATGCATTTTCGAGCGCTGATTTTGGCTACTGTCTTTTGGCTGCCCAATTGAATAGAACAGTAGGAGGAAAAAGGAAGGTTGAAGGTAGAGTCGTAGAGAAAATGGAGAATTCCAATAAACTACAGTTGCAAAGAAATTGAGAAGATGCACGAACGCGACTGGTTGCGACACTCAATCATATCACTCGGTGTCTCTAATCACCGGTTACCACGATTTCGAGGTCCCCATCCAGGGAGCCTGTCGCAACCTATATGACCGAGTTTCCTGGTTAGGGTTTTCATACCGTCATGCCGGATCTTACTTTGATCGCCCTTGGCTTTATTCTACCCGCTGCCTACCTCAGAAAACATGGTGCACGGTGGCAACATATTTGATAGCATGCGTAACACATGTCCCAACCAACGTCACCCATGGAGGCCGACCACTTGCTCCAGTGGGCGGCTCCAATTGCCTAAAACTCTGTGCCTAACCTCAACATTATTCGTCCGGTTGCCCCATCAGATACGCTCAATGCTGTATAGACAGCGGTGTTCAAACACCAACAGTCTATCTTTATCCTGTTTTCATAATGGCCAGGGTCCCATGCTGTATGGCAGAAGTGGCCAAACTACCGCAGCATATACTCGATCCTTCATGGACAGCCGATTTTGCGGCGGCTCCACAGAGGTCTCAAGTGGGCACATTAGGCGCAGTGGTCTAGTCGCTGTCACAGGCGTGCTTTGGACCCTATGGTTCGAGGTTTGAGCCCTTCCACCGCCACCCGACTTTCGTGTTAGGTAGCTTTGCTGTCGTCCGGTTCAATAATCTGCCTAAACCTATCGAGGCCTTATGTGGTTCACCACTCCAAGTCCCGGAGCTTACCGGTTTCTATCACTGAACAGCGGGACCTCATGACTATGGGGTTTACCCCATCTGCTGTTCATCACAATAAAATGTGTGTAACAAAAAATGCCAATCAAGCTTTCTCTATACGAGCTGACACTTCATTCGTCGTATGTCCATCCGGTGAGAAACAAAACTTGTCTACTTACTCTATTCCTTCCCGAGTTAGAGTGGGCCTGGGTGCTAGACCAACCCAGTCTTGTAGTAACAGATTGAGTTTCATCACTGGATGTGATTAAAAATACCAACAGAATGATGTTCACACATGTCCTTAAAAGAACTTCTTCAGCGTCCTCTGTTTTTAATGGTTGATACTGGTTAGAAGAATATGAGATAGCTAGACCACACATTGCTTAAACAGTGAAGGAAATTGACTAAGAAACGATATTGTACAGATCAGCTCAAACTATCCAGATGGTTATGGATGAGCCTCATACTCCCTATGACTCAAAGTATCGAGGAGCAAAGCACAAACAGGTGGTGACAAACTTACCGAATCGGATCTGGGTAGATGAGCAGTCAAGAAAGAACCACGGCGTTGTGTCTTGGGTGCAGAAGCACTGGGTGGTTGGGTAGGGGACTCACAACGGGAACTGAATAAGGAATGACCTTTGCCTGTAAGAGTCGATTGTTTGGGAGTATCCGGAGTTTCGGTGTGAGTGGCCAATTCACATGCTCCGTGAGTACGGTTCTGGACGATATTAATCATCGACGGGGATGAGTTCACGCGTTTAGGAGAAGAGAAGTGGGTCGGGGCGTTCGCTGTGCTAACCAAGGTTGGTGTGGCAAATCTAATCCCGGTGTGGAGCGGTGGTGAGTCATCTGGACCTTGGAACACTCGTAACACCTTTGCCGTGGAAGGTGGGGAACCGGAAAATGATGTCGGTGAAGAGGA